AAAAATCCATGAAAACAATCGATATTCCGTCTCGTGATCTTGCGGCCCGGAAAAGCTGGATACTCCTCGATTTTCCACGCAATTTTACGCTTCAAATATGAGATCTTTATCACAAAAGTTACTCCCATAATGTTTTTCATATCGATTAAAGAGATAATCATACGCTCATGCCGTCGCGTGTAAACACGCGACTTTTTCCTCTGCATAGTTCTGCATAATTTCTTCTTGATGTAACTAACACCCAGGTATGTGTGTAACGTTACGTAGAGGATACCGGCGAACAAAGTTTTCTCTCAGTTTTCTCTCCTCAGCGAGATAAAGAATCGTTGAAAAGCATGAAAGATTAATTTGTAATTGGAATCGATGTTAATATCGTCTAAAAATAATTTGCATTCAAGGTAGACATATATAAAAATAGGACGTCGATACAAGGAGAGAAAACACATAGCACTAGTAGATAGAAGTTTAACTCTGGATTGAAGGAATAAAGCAAATTTTATCTGCCAAGCCTTGTATATAGATCTGGAGGAGGAAGACACGGAGGAGGATAAGCTGTACAAGGAGTACAGCTCCTGGGATCAGATACCTGACATTCTGCTGGAGGAGATATTCTCGTATCTGACCATTCGCGAGCGTTACTATGCGTCTTTGGTCTGCCGATCTTGGTATCGTGCCTTCAAACTGCAGAACGTATGGTCCACGTTTACCCTGGAGGACACCACCCTCACGCGAGGGAAGTTCAACTACTACAGCGGCTGGCAGTACGTCCTGGATCACTTAAGAACGTCCACCTGTCTGAACAAAGTCGGAAGGAACTTCCGCACCCTCGTGTTCGAGCCCATGTTGAATTTTTACAATCTTTACGAATTCATGAACATGATATCGTGGTACGCTGAACGACAAGGATCGGATAACACGTCTGTGGCTGGCGTGGGTACCTACGTTCGTAGGTTGAAGTTTACCTTTCCTTGTAACATGGCGAACAGGGATGATCCCGATCGAATTAGAGTCTTTGGCACTGGTGGAAAACTGCTGGAGGCACTCAAGAGACTGATGAGAAACCTGCAGAATCTCAGATGTCTGGAGCTGATAGATCTAATGCTCGACAGCAACGAAGCGTTGTACTTAATGGACGACATCTGTACGAATTGCACTCAGACATTGTCGAAATTGATATTGATAAACACCACACGTTACAATTGTCCATTATTACATGTAGGAGTATTTATTAACTTAAACGTGAGTACATGAAGTAACAGTTGATAATATTTATATATATAGTTTCTGTGATATTTAATTAAAAATTCTTTCAGGTTTTAGTCATTAGTCCCCAAAATTTGCATGAGGATATAATAGAATTAATAGGATACACAAAATTGAGGCATCTTCATATTCTGCAAAATCGATACAGTCCAAAGGACACTACCATAAGATTGGTAATTATAATCTCTAACACATATACTAATTACAATTCTTAATAGCCCTTCTTTGTTATATTATTTAATTTATTGAGCCTTTTTACTTAATTTTAACATATACTAATCCTTTTGCATCAATAAATATTTATTTGGATTTTTATTTCAGCCAAAGAGATCATCTTGGATCAAGATGAAAAAGAGCAATCCTTATTTGAAAGTTCACTTTGAAATAGAAAGTCATAAAGCTTCGGATATCCTTTTGCCTATCGACTTACTGGAACATAGCGCTATACCGTGTCACAGTATAGTATTGGATAATCCAAATACACAAGTTAGTGAGAAATAATATGCGATTTTATATTAGAGAGACAAGTACAGAAATTTTACTTCATGCTAATAATGTCCTGCAGCTTTCGCCATCCATGGTACTCACTCACGGAGCATTTTTCGACTCGACAATACGGGTGTACGCTTTTAAGGGAGTTACGAGATACTATCTACACAGGAGCTTCGCTAAGAGATTGGACGAGGCGTTAGTGCAATTCTGCCGAATGTGCCCGAATCTGCATACACTGGTAGCATTTTGTATTTGAATCAAAAAGCTTGATAGCTTTCCTAAAACACCGATGTTAACAACGCGATGTGCTGGCATGCGTTCGTACCTTTACACATTATGAAAGTCTTTCTTGCTATTGTGTGAGTGTAAGTTCCTCCTAACTATTCTATAGGCTTACTTATCCCGATGCTGCGCGTGCTAAATATTCAAACTGTTGAATGTTTTACAAGCTTCCTCAGTCTTCTTATTTGTAATATATTCTGAAATTTAAATGTGCTCTTCTTTCTGCGTTTAGGTACAGTTAATCGAAAATAGCTATATTAAATATGAATCACTTAAAACTCGAATAAATAAAGTTAACTTTTGAGATTTATTTAGATAAAAAAAAATTTTATATTCAAGATCAATGTTACAAATCATCGATTATCTAGCTTCTCCTCAATGTCTAATATAACAATAACTAATTATTAAAAAAGAATTACTCTATTTTTGTCTACAAATTTCTATTGATTTACAATATAGTGACAAATACTTCTTCCACAGATGATCCGAGATAAAATATCGACTGCTACGATTTTAGAGATTGTTTCTACCGCGAAATGCTTACGCTGCTTGTATGTTCGACGAAACGTAGTTCTGAAGAGATGTGACAGAGCTTGGTCAAAAATTCTGGATAGATCACCCGAGTATTATCAATGGATCAAGGTAAATAGCTGTAGTTACGAGAACACAGAGCGAGAAGTGTCCAGAATATTGGGCTATCGATGGCACATGTTATCCGAAAAAGAATTTAAAGCGCAAATAATCAATATGCATATATAAGCCGCCTATGAAGCGATATAATATATGTATATGTTACAGCGAAAACATAACATTGATAGTTGTATGCATTTATTAGTAAATTTATATGCTGAATTGACAATATTTTAACAAAATCATTAATTTTTATTTATTAAAAATGAATTATTCAATTTTACTTATTAAAACCTTGAATAATTATATATAATTACTAATAAAAGTATATAATTAGGATATTTTATTTTTGCTGTAATATACGCGAACTCGCCTGTTTTTTAATTTCTAAAGTCTTTTATATAATTATATATATTATATAAATTATACATATTAATATACATATAATTATATATAGTAATTTATTGTATTATGTCCGCCATCATAACAGTATTTATTTATATACAGGGTTGGGAAGTGACGCATTACTAATGCCATTTTCGTTACTTTCTAAGTAACGGTAATGGTAACGAGTTAGTCTAAGTACCTTTCTAATTAACAATGGTTCCTATGATCGTGTGACTTATTCGTTAGTATATCTTATTGTCAATGTTTTAACATTACTGTTAAACTCGACTGTTCAAATTCAAGTCAGAAAGATCTATATCTTTTGTTATGTACAATTTTATAAACTTGACACGGTCCCGTTTACATATCTCTACATTTTTTTTTGTATAATTTTATTCTGACTTTCTGTGCCGGATCCATTTTTAAAGTTTGTTATGTGAACTACTGCTACTCGAGATGAGTCTTATTATTTTTTAAATTATAAACCTTTTGACTAACCGTTACAAACGTCACTGATATCATCTGAATTTAATATGGACGTGTTTCCATCTAGTCTTCCAACTGGTTGGACAACTTAATTTTGTTTTAATCTACTGACCTCTCATCTCGTCTAGCAGTATTCAACATGCAGTTTTCGATCTTAATTTGCGTTTTCTTTATCATTAATAAGGGCTCAAATTAGAGTCGAAACATACGAGCAGAATATTGTAAGATTCTTATTGATGGACTTGGATTAATTAAATTTGACTTGTTATAGAATTATTTAATCTGCGCACTGATTACCGCGCTTGACTCCCATACTCCCGTTTCGTTATTATTTTGTTGTTACTTTTTACAAAAAGTAACGTAACGGTAATACATTACTTTTAAAATAACATTCCTAACCCTGTTTATATAATGAAACGAGGCTATAGAAATTGATTGCCATGACTGTACGCTTAATATTAGTGATAAGTGCCGTAATTAAGTGTAATGTTATTTTTATGTACTATTGTATTGTAATTGTGACTGTAAAAAGTTATCGTGGAAATATCGAAATAGATTGAAATGTACTTAATTAAAAGTTATATAATTACATGATTTCGTGACTGTAGCTTTTTTTTTATGGAAGTGACTGTGATCGACGTTTTCAATCGTCAAAGATAACGAGATCTGTTCAATATTTATTGGATTGTTCTATAGAGAAAGATGTATAATAATAATAATAAAACAAGTAATTTTATCGTTTACGTTTATTTTTATATAATCTACATTTTAGTTTAATTGAATACAACTTACATATAATTATGTACAATACTAGTAAATATTTCGTACATTATTCGTGTATGCAATTACTGTTATATACGAAATAATTCCATGCACATTTGCATATTACAACCATTTTTAAATCAGACAATTCAATCTATAGTAATTTAAAAAATGTAATTTCATTGCCAAAATCAACATGTATTCAACATACAATTAATATATCTCCAAGAGAAAAACAATAACAGTTCGAAAGATCATCAATATCCAAGTTGATAAAACACTTAATACATGTGATAAAATAATTTATATGATATACAATCATTGTTATCAACATTACAATTGTATATACACATATTTCGACTTGTATATACACGTGGATTTGTTAAATCATCAAGTATATATATATATATATCATTAAATAAATATAGCCATTAAAGTGACAAGATGAATTACATATTAACATCGACAAAATTTATGCAAGAGGAGAAAGGACATGTGTCGCGTGGAGAACATCTGTACAATTTCGATTTAAGAATCGATTGAGAAAACAGTAATTTATGCTATTAAATATAGTTACAATAAATTAAAGGAAAAATTCAAATATACTTGTATTACACTAAAATGAGACAACCAGCATAGGAGTAGAAGATTACGGTGCCATAGCTGCAGATCGTTTGTCGCGATTCTTGTTGCGCTGAATGGTGCGTGCCTTGAACGCGGCCGCGTTCATCAATGTCTACAAGTCAACAAAAAAGATAAGACACAGCCTTGTTAAAAACATGTTTAAAACGGACAAGTGTATTCATGAATACTAACTCGCTCTAATTTACTCGTTTTGATTGTGACTGGTGGAGGTAGAACTTTGTTGCCGAGGTGAAAGATCTCGCGCAAGAGTTGATTTTCAGCAAGATGGAAATTGATACCGGTGCCTAATAGCCGGCAGCAAGCGTTGTACTGAGTCCTCGCGCACCATCCCTCTAGATACAGAATTTCCTGACCAAATCTCACATGCATTTCCGGAACGATATCTTCCTAAAAGTAAAATGGAATGTGTAGCGCCTCGTCGTATCTTGACATGCGGTCGCCAAGTCTTGTTTTTAAAACAAACAGAAATTTTTTTCGAATAAACAGTTGCACAATATAACTACCTACCTCGATATAATGCAGAATATCTCTAAAATTAGCGCGTTGCTGCTTGCGATCTTTTTTAGCACGGTACTTGTTGGAATCCGTGGCGAGTTCCTTGAGAATTTCGATTAGGTCGAGCGCCCAATTCTGCTCGTAGTCGCAGGAGAAATCACGACCGAGTTCGAATATCACCGCTAACGCCTCGCCGGCTGATAGACGTACATCGAGATGTGGTGATTCCAGCAATTCGCGCAATCGATTAAGTGAACTGGAAGAAAAAATTTTCACGTGTTCATCGTCGTTTGACAACCGTACGTTCCCGCGTGGTGACAATCAATGACTTACGGCATATAACTGTTTGTTCTGCCGCTCGCGAGCAAATTGTAGATATCCGCGGAGGTCATAACTGTTAGAAGCAAGGTCCACGATGAGATAGCTGCCACGTGTAACGCCGCCACATCCGGGGATATGTTTGCGATCGCGCCGTTTCCCTTTAAATAAGAGCCCGAAAAGATGGACGACAGTAATTGTGCGATTTCCATGGTGTCAGTCGCATCGTTGCCCGACAAGAATTGATTCATGGCTAACGCCCAGCAACACTGAAATCATTTTATTAATATAAAAATTTTGGTCATTAATAAATTATACAAAAGAATACAACTTTTTTCGCGACCCAGTTTGGAGATCGTTTTATTTCTACTTTTTCTTATATATTTTTCTTCAAGGATTAAAAAATTATAATAATGATATATTCAAAAAAAAATTAGTACATTTAAATAGAATTAATAAAATCTATTCATATTATTATGAAATTGCTGTCATTTATGTGCCTCAATCATTTAAAAATTAATTCAGAATTGGATTAATAAAGAAGTGAAATTAATAAAGAAGTGAAATTTGTACTCTCTTTTGAAATATTGGCCGATTTATAATTCGTTATTATTTTTAAGACCTTAAATAATATCTTAAAACGCCAATTTGACTCTGACTTGGCTTATGACATCTTAAAACTGTACTTAAAGCAGCATCTACAATGAGATTTTAAGGCATAAGTCTTAAACCCTAAGTCGTAAGAAATTGACACAATCAAATGTGAGACTTTACGGCTTACGGTCTCTTAAAATAAGATTGTGGACCTAGATTTATAGACATTGTTGAAGATAGTCTTAAATATAAGACTTGATTTCAAGTGCCGGCCAATATGACACGATAATCGTATAATTCACGTTACCTCGGCGCGAGCATGGACAGAAGCTGTATTGTCGTTAGCGATGAAGGTGAGAATTGATTTTAGATCTCTGCAGACTATCTCGGCGCTCTCGAAGGCGCCCAACTGGACGCACAACAGGGTGCTCAATCTGGCAGCTGTTGTCTGCTCATCGCCACGGCCCTTCTTCAAGCCACGCTCCACAGCATCCGTGATGGTCATCTTTCTATCCTCCACGAAATCAGGTATATATTTGATAGCGAAAATTTTCTCTATACCATTAAAACAGATAGTGCGGCCTTTCGCGCTCTTCTGCGTCAAACCGTCGATCGCCTCCTTCATCTTCTCCTCGAACGCCTCCTGCTGCGCGAGCTCGTCCACCTCGTTGTCATTCGCGTCCTCCAGCACACTACGATTGTCGGATTGACCGCTGGTCTCGCTGCACGCATCATTGTTGATTGAATCCTCATCGGATGTAAACTCAGCTCTTTTTCCACCTGTCAGCAGAATACAAAACATATGGTTCACTCGTCTGTCCGTGCAGAGCTATAAATGCAATCTTTTGTATGTATATACAGAGTGTTTGATAAGTAACGATAAATTTTTCGCACAGGGGTAGAATGGACTAAACTGAGAAGAAAAGTTCTCTACCATTTTGCAATTTTCGCGATAGTTAACGAGATATTAATTGCTAAAAATTGCCGAAAATTGGTCTTCAATAATTTTTTACTCAAATACTATCAACTTTACAGAAAAACTGTAAGAGACAAAAATTGTTCATTTTCTTCTCATAAAGTTCTGAGAATTTTTTTTAGAATTTTTTCAGAATTTTTTAATACCAAATTTTCTCATGTTGGTAAAAATAAAAAAGTGCAGTATTAAAAAGTCGATGAAAAATCCTGAAAAAATTCTTAGAGCTCTATGAGAAGAAAATTTTTGTCTCTTGCAGTTTTTCTCTAAAGTTGATAATATTTGAGTGAAAAATTATTGAAGACCAATTTTCGACAATTTTTAGTAATTAATACTTGTTAACTATTGCGAAAATTACAAAATGGTAGAGGACTTTTCAGTTTAGTTCATTCTGCCTGTGCGAAAGATTTATCGTTACTTATCAAACACCCGGTATATGTTTGTGTAGTTGTGTAGATACGATACACTTATAAACATTTTTCTATTTTACATCTATTTATAAATCTGTGTGAGAGACGTGAATTATAATTAACAAAAACTAAAAATGCAAAATGATTCATATATGACAAGACACTTTAATATTAATTCATATATACTTGATAAAAAGATTGTCAATGAGATGCCATATGGAGTTAGGAACTTCACACGTATTTGTTAATACTGTGAACTATCGTCAGTTTTAATAACGATAAATTATAGATTTTAATATTCCCCACTCAACCGGAAGAGTGAGGAAATTTCTGAGAAATTGGTTGGAAGTGATTTGATAACAGCTTATCTACGTCGATAATAAAATTACTTTAGTTAATTACGTCAAAGGTTGGAGTTTGGAAACCTTATGGCAGTCAGAAACTATGCAAGCCTGACAGGTAATTTTCCGAGTTATGGAAAATAATAGCAGTTCTTGAAAGTGAATGTCGTGTTACATAATGTGAAATCTACACAGCTGTACCTGTCTCATTAATGGGTTTTGGCACGTGTTTCAGAGCTGATAATTAAAACGTGAAAAATCGAGGTTCATGATTGCGATAAGCACTTTGTAAAAATTGTTTAATATACTATATGTAACAACTATCTAATAATTGTTTAACATATATATTCAATATGTTATATGCTAAATATTATTTAATTGGTTTATTAAAAAATACGGAATCTCTAGCTAATAATAACAATACGATGCATTTAATTGTAAAACCTGAGATTTACTCTTTATATATATTTACATAAGTAAATAATTTTCCTGTATGTAATATATAATTTATACATACATTTTATAAATAAATTACACGTGTAAGTGGAAATTTTATTTTTTAAAAGTATACAATATCGCACACACTTGCGCGCGTATTAACCCATACAGTACAAAATTTGCAGCAACTTTGCATGTTGCAACTTTGCGCTGTAGGGGAAGTACATTTTTAAAAAATAATTTTACAATTTTACATTCGCGAAAAAGTAAAGAAAATACACGAACGCGCCGCCGAAGTAATTAAAATCATCATACAGGAATTAAAAATTATTTTTCATTGCGATAAGTCTGTCCGCAATTCTCGAATCATCCGATTTTTCGGCTGCTTAAGTTTTATCAACAAGAAGATTATAGCTATCGCCAATTCGTCGGCGGAGCAGCGAAGAAAAAATATTAAAAAGCCGCGACTCATCCCAACAAATGCGCAATACGGGAACAATAAAAATCCGCAGTTTGAGCCGAGTCCTTGAGGGACTCGAGAGGAGGGGAAGAAAGGAGGGCGAAGGAAACATCTCTTTTTGCGCGATAATATTTATCTGATCGATAAATAGATAAATATCTGACGAAAAAAGATTGCAAAAGCATCAATAAGCCTAAACGAAGCGATAAGTCGCCGATTGCCGGGGATTGCTACGGATTGCGTAAATTCTTAAGCTCGCGTCACACGCATTGGAGGCTGCGGATTGCGAATTAGAGATTAGAATTTGACCGGTCGGGTAGTTTTAATTTCAATCCGTTTCGTTCTGATTAGCTGAATTCTAATCTTCAGGTCGCAATTCTCAATCTCCAACGCGTGTAACGTGAAACTTTAAAGATCGAGGAGATCGCGAGGATTGAAGATTACAATTCGCAACAAAACGGATTGAAATTAAAACTACTATTAAAATAAACTTAAAATTATTTGACTCGAATTCTAATCTCTGATTCTCAGTGCGTAGTGCGTGGGCTTTACTCGCGCACATGTTCGCGTTCAGCAGAAAAAGCAGTTCCGTAACTGCCATAAAGTTTTTCAACCGACGTATACATTAATTTAAATCCAGCGAGGATTAAAGCAGCGGAGCTGCTTTTTCTATTGGACGCAGCCAACCGTCATGCGGAAAAATATCAATCCGAGTTTTACGTGTAAAAATAAAAATAAAACGAGCGAAAAGAGAAGAGAACAGAGGGTTCATTTGGAAGTGAAGAACAAAGACGAGAGATTTATATATATGCCCTAGATATACATATCGCGCGAGCCACGTACATTCGCCTGGCACAGCCGGATGTCCCAGTATTCGCCTTCGCTAATTATCATCGTTATCATAAAAGAAATATAAATACATACGTAACGCACGACTGGCGTTGCTCGCCGCGCACCTCGCAGCTCCGAACGATATTTAATTTCTATAACCTCTTACGGGGGGACGTGTTTTTTAATCGCGAGCGCGAGTCTCGCGTATTTTCACGGATACGCCTCACGAATTGTCTAGGAGGTGCGCTTCGTCCACACGGCGCGTTATCTCGAGACGCGGCGCGCGACACCGCGTGTCGCGGGCTCCATGTGTCAGCAGCATGAGAGTCACATGGGAACCATATCGCCGTCCGCCATGGATCCCGGGAAACTCGCGCCAAAAAGGGCCTAATCGGAAAGACGGGAAAGCCAGCGACGGTGGGCGAATCTCGAGGGAGGAAAAAGAACGATTGATCGTGTCGAGGTTTCGCGTCGTGACGTAAGTCGACGAAATAAATCCGATTTCATTCCGGATACGTGATTCATTCGGGACATGGACAAACGGACGGACGGATGGAGGCGCGAATCGATAATTTAATAATGTCGAGCGCGCGTCACGTGCGCGCTCCTCGGATAGCAGGGCTCTGTTACCTTTTTCTCGTAGACGATGAGAAAACGAGGAGAAAAAAAATAAAAAGGAAACGACGTGTTTTCGGATATATCAAAGTCGTGCGCTTACCGTACTTTCCTCTTCTGCCCCCTTTGCCTGGCATCGTTCCTCAGCTTGCTTATTACACAATTGGTACTAAGTAAAAGACTCGATCAAGAGGGTAAATGTCTTGAACTAATGTCTTTCTTTCGTATACTGAATACGCCACGTGAATTTTTCGTTGGGAGTAGACGAAAACTCATTAACATGTTGCGGAGAGTTCAGAACATACACGTCGAGACAGCCTACGGTGGGCTTTCTCAAGTGCACTGGCTTGTCCCCCTCGCCTAGCCAGACCAGACGAACGTGCCCGATCCGCCCGCGAACACGGCCGAAGGTACCCGAGTGTGACACGCGCGCGAGCCAATCGGCGCTCGTGATTTTCGTTACGTCGTGAAGTCCGCGCAGAGTCGCGAGGGATTTAATTTGCGCGCGCGCAAATTGGGTCTGTTCTTTTTCGAAGAAATCTGAGGACTGTTCTTTTCGGCTGAACTTTTGCACTTTTTCTCTCTAGGGTCGGAATCAGACTACGCATTGAAGATTGAGATCGAAGATCGAAGATTGAAATTTGACCAATGAGGGCAAAGGAATTTTAGCTCCTATTGTTTTGATTGGTCAAATTTCAATCTTTCAATCTTCGATCTCAATAGGTCTGTTCGCGTTGCTTGCACTTTTGGCACTCGGCATCTTCGCTTTCTCTCTTTTCAAGGCCAAATATATATCTATCTCATTTTAAGTGTAAAAATATTTGGGGATTTCATGCAACGCGAACAGACCTATTCTTTAATGCCTAGTCTGATTCCGGTCTAGGAGGAAAGAAGAGGAAGAAAGATGAGCTGGTGTAAAAGTTCAGCCAAAAAGAATAGTCCTCAGAAATATATATATTTCGGTCAAATACACGATATTTTAATGTTTAATTAAAAATGTCTGGATCACTCACAAACATTTTTAATATGGCACTTCATAACTCTTCATACGAAATACAAACGATTCCATATATATAAACTTTGTTGAATTTAGATCCGGTTAATTATTTTGGTCAAGTACATGGTTAAAAAAAAATGATTAATTGTAATTAATAGAATGACTCACAAACCTTTTTATTTGCAGTTCAAAACTCTTCATGTGAGATACAAACGATTTAGACTGCGGTCCACTTGACGCTACAAACGCTTCGAAGCATTCTTTGATTAGTTTAATCACCGACGAGATATTATTAAAGACCGACATCCTTATGGGAGTTCGCGTCCTTGTTAATATTGAAGTGATTAAGAGTAAAAAAACTGATAATATTGTACTAATTTTGTGATTTATTAGTTTAGTAGACGTGTTTATCGGTGTACGTGCATTTAAAACTCAATAATACTCGATTTTTCTTTAAAATTGTGATTTCAGTGTTATCGTCAAAGTTCGATTATCAACAGAGATAATAACTGCAGAGAAAAAAATTGTAATTTTTCGGCAATATATAGGATATTATAGCTTTACAAATATGCATATTTATTTATAGAGCATTTATGTAATAAAATATCATGAATTTAATAATGTATTAGTCAAATATTTACGTTAATAATAGCAAATTTATCAATTGTCGATAATGTCAGCGTTCTTCTATTACCTCCGGGCCCTTGGGGCCCTTTTTATACCGCCGAAAATTTGCCCAGGGTTGACGGTCTTTAATAGTATCTCGTCGGTGGTTTAATATATATATGCAAATAGTAATTTCCCTTCAACTTGAATTTCCCACATTTTGAATAACATAGATGGCGCACATTTTCATTTCGATCAATTCAAACATTTGATCTGTTCGACTTGCTTGCACTTTTTACACTTAAAATGAGATAGATATATATTTGGTGCTGAAAAGACAGAAAGCGAAGATGCTGAGTGTAAAAAGTGTAAGCAAGTCGAACAGATCTATTGTTGTAAATGTGTGAAAAGGGGAGACTGTTGGCAGGTGTTTGATGCTACTTGCTAATTGTCTGTGTATAGATTTTATTCGGCCGGTTCTTTGCAATCAATTTACGTATCCACCAAGTGAGTTAATAATTAATATTTAATTAATTGTTTTGCTAACTCCAGTTAAACTAGAAAAGAAGCACAGGTTAAATAAATATATGTAGCTAATTTTGTGTAGTGAATTATCAGCTGACATTAAAAACACAATAGTTGCTTTCCATTTGCATCACAACTCAGATAATTCTCATTTGTGATGTCATAACGCAGTTGAATTCAGGTTCCTTTTCAACCCGACATGTGAGATTTTACCTACAATTTGCACAAGCTCGTGTGCTTTACTACTAAGTCTTATTTAATTCACATTGAAAGTGAGATTATATAAGCCTATATTGTTATGTGACAATTTTGTCGTCAAAGTAAACAGGTAGTGTCATCTGCATATAAATACTCATATAACTTCAGACTATTATTTATATGAAAATAGAAAGCAACTTGTAGCTCAATTAAAATTATGCTATAAATGTCTTAACAGGTATATCGAATTTTAGGTCTTGGCAGCTACAGTATAATGTAACAATTATGTTTTAATTAATGTAAAGATGGATCGCACCGTACTCGTGGCGTTTGATTTTGACCACACCATCTGCGACGGTAACACCGATCTAGTAGTGCAAAATTTGCTACCAATCGAGATATCCAAGGATGTGCACAACTTACGGAAGTCTAGTGGCTGGATAGCCTATATGAGCAAGATCTTCGAGCTTCTACATGAGAACTCTGTAAGAGCGCATCAGATCGAAAACGTTATTATTGGTATACCTGAAGTTGCAGGGATGCAGAGGCTCCTCACTTCCCTACATGACAACGGTCACGAGATCATTATTATCAGCGATTCTAATAGCATGTTCATAGACACTTGGCTGAGAAGTAAGCGGCTCGATCGTGTTGTGTCGCATGTTTTCACGAACCCAGCCCGATATGACAAAGGCAGGCTGAGGGTGGACCCATATCATATGCAAGACACATGCCAAATGAGCGCTGTCAATCTTTGCAAAGGACAGATTTTAACGGACTATATTCAGGATAAGCGCAAACAGGGTAAAAGCTATGAGAGAATTGTCTATATCGGCGATGGAAGGAATGATCTCTGCCCGATTTTGCGCCTCTCAGAGACTGATCTGGCATGTCCGCGTAAAGGCTATTCGCTCATTAACCGGCTAAATGAATTATCTACCTCCATGTCGCCAAAGGCAAAAATTGTGCTATGGGAGGACGGTACTGATTTACAATTCAGATTGGAACAGTTCATAGAACTTCCGCCTTTAACATAATTTCATCAATAAATTTTTTGCGCTTTTTCAGATGTTCATTATTAAAATCATTATTAAAATAATAATATAAAATACTTTTAAGATTAATAAAAGTCAAAGCAGATGGAGGTGCTCATTCGTTGGAGTCTTCTTCAGCAAAATTACATTTAATCTGAACTCATATTCATTGAGTAATCTATTCAATGTGAGTCACTTGTAGGTTCCCAACTGCAGTGGATTCTTAAACGAAAGGCTCAAACTTGTCATGAATACTCAATGAATATGAGTTAAGATTAAATGTAATTTTGCTGAAGAAGACTCCAAAGTGAGCCGAAACGTTCAGAATAAAAAAAAGATTGAGCAACTACATTCCATCAAGATTGTACTTTCAACGAATGAGCACCTCCATCTGCTTTGACTCTTATTAGCCTTGAAAGTATTTTATATTCTCATTTTAAGATTGAGAGTCTATAATTTTTTTGTTTGTTTTAATCATCATTATTAAATTGATGAACAATGTAATTTATGATGTTATTTCCAGCTTCAGTTTATCATTGCGTTTCAAATTCAATAAACTGAATTAGCGCGCAGAATTAAAAAATGTATGTATTTTATAATTGTTTCTTTTTATAATTATATATTTTAAAAATATTTATTACTAAATATGAAATATTTACGCCGGAAAAGCGCTTTTAAAGTAAATGTGTAGAGTCCGAAATCACTTTTTTATCTCCGGCCGAAATCAAAAACGAATATTCGGTTTTTTATTTAATTTCGCCCTAAACCGAAATTAGATAAATCTTACAAACACCATATGATTTTCTGAGGTATTACCTATTTTAAAAATAAGATTTTTTATCAATATCTTATTATTTCTTAAATTATATAAGGAATTTTTTATAAGTTATAAGGAATTTTAGGCACTAGACATGTGGCGACTTGGTGAGTAAAAAAGGATAAGAAGAGATAGTGCCAGCGTGATTTACAGCAATCGGCGCCGATGATAACATATAGTTTTTCGAATGTTTGCCGGTGCGTTGCAATTTGTACAGTTTCGGTTCACTTACCGAAATTTTCTCTTAATTTCGACCGAAACCGAAATCAAACCTGATTTTTTACCGAAAGTTCGATCGGACTCTAAAAATGTGATTACAATTATATGTATTTGTTTTGTACAATACGATATTTTTGTTATAATGGTGTAAATGATTAGAGTTAAATTATAATCGAGCTTTAATGCCTTCGTATATGAAGAGATATTTACCTTTGATATTTAAGAGAAAAGAATATCAAATAAAATATAATTTTAATACTTATGAAAAATTTTTCTCTACCAGCATGTACTAAAAATGACTATTTCACAACTGCAGAATGTATATAATTCTCAATACATAAGGTACATTTGTAATTATTATTGTTATATTATAATCTTATTTTAATATTCAAATATATTAAATAATTTAACTTATATTAAACACTATTTATTCAGCCAAATGCATCCTGTATTTTTGCGTTATTACGATTTTAAAAATTGTTTTCACGTTTCAAAGAATAAATGTAATATTATAAACACATAACGGAAGCATCTTTCGTCAGAAATATTTACGATATAAAAATTTAAATAGATAATATTTCTTGAATATTCAAGAAATTTTCTAACATCTATTTAATGTAAAAGGTTCATGAAAGATTGGTTGTAAATAAAGTACTGAATTTATTAAATATTTATACATTGCCTTATAATAAAATTATCAGAAACGCTTTGGTTCTTAAACTGTTAAGATACATTAAGATACATTTGCCGTAACTTATATTGCACTTATACATAATTTAATTGAACGAGTCGTAACATTCATGTGTTTGTATTTTATCGATCAAAATGTTATGCGAATGTAATTCTAAACTGTTTTTACAAACAATACTGTTTTTATTCTTGGCGACTATACAAAAACTTTTTTACGAACTAACATCACAATTTGTGTTAGTGTTTTGAAAATATACAATCGGATGATTTTTCAGAGAAGCAAATTATTTTCCTTATTTTTCTATAAAGCCTGAATTTGTTGAGAAACGAAAATTTTTTTTTTTAAACTGGATTACCTAAAAGATCTTACCTAAGATTTTTGGAACATGTACAAAATGTACAAAAAAATGAAATATTAAATATGTATTCGTATAAACTTGACACTAGTAATATGATTATCGTATTAATGTAAAATATCTTTTTTTTTTACATTAATATGATACATAAATAACCACATAAAAGTATTTTTATGTATAACAAACATGAACATATATAAAAGATATAGCAATATATATATTTTTTATATAATCTTAATATATAATCTTAATATATAACTTTTAAAAGAAAGAAGTTAATCCTTCGGTGCCACTCTTAATGTCGAATACCCGAGATTCCTTTTACTTTACTGTACTATTAAAGGAGCAGAAAAAACTAAAAATGAATAAAGAAAAACAGAAACTTGAGAGAAAAAGGCTATTTGATGAAGAAGTTAAAAATTATGTCTGAGATTGAATTAAAAAATGCTCTAAGTTTTATTTTATGTTGTCTCTCATTTATTTTTTATTGTAATTAATAAAACATTTAACATTTGTATCTTTGTTTTTATTTAATGCTCCTTTTCGGCTTTTTCCAAAAAAATTTCTTGACTTTTCCTGGTTTTTTCTCTGACCGCTAACAATCCTGTATACCTTTTTTATTCATAAAAATACATACATTTGCTTGTTACCGTTATATTTCTTGATGACTGACTGACGTTTTGATTGAAAAAATGTATGATTATTTTTATGCGGTATTTTTCACAACACCAATCTGACAATACGTGACATACGATATAGAGTGGCACTGAAAGGTTAATTATGGTATTTTTGATTAAGTGCGGAATATCTAAACATTAAACTTTCTTGGATTTTTTACACTAATATCAATAAAATAAAAAAAACTGATATAATTTGAATATTTATATTAAATTAATCGAATAATTTTTGTATTACTTTTATAATAAGAAAAAGTATATCTATGCAAGAAAAGAAATTCAAATCTTATTTTGTAAAAAAATAAGAAATACAATTAGAAAAAAGAAAACAAAAGTTGAAGGTATAATACCCTTGTCCACAGCTGTAAGTTCTTATTTGTTACATTAAATGTAGCACCACTGGTACACGTAAACTTTCATTTATCTCTATTCGTCGTATCTTCACATATTTGGAATAAAGCTGTACAATATATTCATATTGTTACAGGGATGAAATTATAGTTTGTTACAAAAGATAAAACGGTAGACAGAATTGCTATAACTATAAGAGCGCCCACGTGCGAAGCATTGGACTGTGTACCAGTAGCAGCGGCGCTTTCTGCAAGTACATTCTCGCATGGCGTCACTCTCTTGATGAAATTAAATACAGAATCCATTATATTCGCAGGCGTGGGATCAGGGCATTTTTCTAACTCTGCCACAATGCAGATTTGCAATTTGTTCATGTCCCTGTAATGCATCAAACAAATATAAGTTTCTCCTCCCCGTACAGAAAGGTGTAGAGAAATATTAATTTTAAGAAATGAATTTTAAATACGCAAAATTTTGAATACAAATGTTTAAATTTATTTCAGGAATATCATCAAAGAACAAATTCGAAGAATAAGAAAGAATAATGAATTTCGCACGGCTCACCTGCATTCTTTTGGACTAAAATCCCAAGCTGAGACACTCTCCAATCTCGTAGGAAAACCGTTAGGATCAAAATTTGATATGTTACCTCCATACGTCTTGTTGACACAATCTATAATTTCTTGCTGTTTTGATTCAAAGCACTCTGGTCCTCCAGCCGATATGAAAACTGCAAAGATATAATTCAAGCTGATGTATAATAATCCAAGCTGCTTCTTATATATATTTGGAACTTGGTATTACTGTTTTATTTAAAATAAAACTAATTCAGTTCATACATACGGGCGATTCGATCCCCTTCTTTGTAGCAGACAAACTCGAGCAGCGAGTCAGTTATATTCATCACTATTTTTTGGTTCTCTTTCATTTTCTCGGTCAGACAAACCGCTATCGTATTCGTAAAATTGCTCACGCAAGTTCGCATAGTCTGGCGCTTGCTGCAATAGTTCCTGAAGACAATATCTAAATCACCTGTCGGCTTGTATTTTTCCATCTCAGCGTAGAGTTCTGTAACGTTGATGAGCTTCTGAAAACATTGTGTCGCTTCAGATCCCGCACGATCGATAAGGTTATATGCATCTGGTCCAGCGTTCTTTACGCAGCTTTCTCTAAAACGATTCGTGCCTTCATCAACGGACAGCCCTGATTGGTTCCATTTCTTTGCAATATCCGGGAATCGGTCATCCACCACACCGCTGATCTGTTGAAGATCGGGAAAGACGGTGGAAGATAAATTCTCTTGCGAATGCGTGCACCCAACGATACCTGAAACAAGGCAATATCTTATACAGTTAAATGGAAATATCTCTCCTTTAAAGTAGATTACGATAGAATAAGAGATGAAGCTGCATCTTTTATTCTACGGTAGAATAAAAAATGAAGTTACTTCATCTTTTATTCAACGTTTAAGAAAAAAAAGCAGCAGTTGTATTTAGGAACGTTGATTGGATAACATTTTCCCTTTATGTTACATAATATCGTAAAGAGAAATATGAACTAAACTCTTACAAAGTAATTGCGTGTACATTTTTTTTGTTGGAATTACGTATAATACGATGATTAAACATTACGATGATATTGAATACTTGACAACTTTTTTAAAATCATTTACATCTAGAATAATTTATCATAATGTAGCGTTTAATGTCATAATGATATATTGGTCGCGGAAGGAGAATTAATAAAAGAAGATTATAATGCAGCTGAGAACCATATAGTGATGTGCGTGTTTTATGTTTGCCAATTGATATTTTTCTGGTATATCGTTTGTAATGACCTCGCATTAGTGCAATTTTTTATAATAGTTTCATCATAATCCGCAGGCGTGACTTATTAGACGTACGATATAATCACAAAAGAATATCTTACAAAATACTAAGAAAAAAGAAGTTTTCAAGAATTTTTATTTTTTAGCAAAATTAATGAATCTTTACTGAACTGTCGACGACAATTTCGTGCAAAATATTTTGTGCAGATTTTCCAGATTTAATTTTGTTAACACCACATTAATTAAAAATAATATTGTATGTGTGTGTGTTATAATAACCAGTTCACGAGCTTTTCGTTAATTACATATTAGAACTATTCATTAAATACAGGTGTAAGACTGAAACATTAAGCTATTGTTACATGTGTATCTACTCTCTTCAATTCTCCATATTAAATTTGTATATAAATAACTATAATGAGGTCTCTACAATAAGCCATTACCTAAGCTGACGTCTTAAGCCGTAAGAATTGATCAATCACAATCAATTGTGAGGAAAATAATCGATTATAATTGATATTCAATTTCTGATGGCTTAAGATTTAGATAATGACTAAGAAAGATCATTTTCGAAGCTCTAACAGCAAGTTAAATATAATTTATATGTATATATAAATCGCGAAACTCTTTAGATTTTTTGCGCACTAATTATTGTGCCATACTTTCATTGACGTGTTTATGATTATATATATTTTTTTTATTTAATAAAATTGTGAATTTACTTATTATTACTATATATAGATTATAAATAAAACATAGGAGACATAAAAAAATAAATAAAATTCGGCATTAGTCTTCTCCAAATTTTATCTCCGCAAATCCCTCACGGCTAATAGATTTTATCCCTTGAGTTATTGCGACAATTCCAATAATAACGCAAAATTGTTGAGCTCCAGCAAAGATTTCCGTTTAGAAGAAGCTTCCTGTAAAGCTCTCTCGAAATGCGATTTACGGACTTTATATTCGTATTATTAAACTTTCAACGAATGAGTTCAGTTTAGCCTTCTTTATTATGATTCTTGCAGGAAATGGAATGCGGTCGAATATATTCAAGTCGTACCGGCCTTGAATATATTATCTTTCTGAAATTTCCGATGAATACTTTCATTCGTCGATATATTAACGATACATCGAAGAAGTCGGTCTTGTTTTTTTTTTCTTCAGTAGTATCGTACTATGCATCTAATTAAAATATAAAATTATATATCGAAATTAATTGAACAAAAATGTATGAAGACATAATTTCTTTGTATAGTTTTGTAAAATCGATTAAAAATTAACAAACAAATATTTAAACATTATTATTTAATATATCTATAGCTAATAATTCAGTTACTTATTTTGGAAACGATGCAATTTAGTTTCGGCATTCAATTTTTATGGGGTGTCGATGAAATGTAAACTGATTTAAATCGATTTTTAATATTTCGAAAAATAGAGTCACTATCAAAATAAATAAATAAATTTATAATTTTTAAATTTATTGTCAAGAAAACGATTCATAATTTCTATTCCAAAAATAATCTTAAAAAAAAAAAGAAGACTGAGGTTCGGTTCTAGAGATGTACACACACACGATCTCTAGATTGTTTTGCTAAAAATGGATTTCTTGTAAAAACATCGCTTCGAAAGAGTCTTCCTTGTTAAAAAAAAAGGAAACGATTTTTTACAAAAAGATCGGTTTAAAATCGCTATTGTTTTAAAAAAAATTGGTCTCTTAACGATCCTATAGCCAGTTCCACAAATGTAAGATTAACTTTAATCGGTTTAACTTACTTATCTTTTTCTAATTCTAAGAATTAGATTTTCTAAGAATTAAAAAAAGATAAATAGTAAGTTAAACCAAGGTTAATCTTATATTTGTGAACCCAGGCCTGAGGGGGGAGGGGATTAGAGATTAGAATTCGACGAGTCAGATAATTTTAATTTTACGTTTTGTTCTGATATTGACTAAATTCTAATCTTCAATTAACAATCTTCAATTTCCAATGTATAGTGTGACACGATTTTAAGTACTCTCATTCCCGTTTTTATCAATGTAGTTTAATTTTAATCTTAGTTCAAATAATTCTTCATCTTTTTTATAAGGATTAAAAAAAGATAAAAAGCATATAGAATAAAAATTGAATTTACTCTACATCCGTAAAAACAGGCATTAGATTGCTATGATGAATAACACAGTATTATCAACTGGAAAATAATAAGTTTTGAAAGCAAACAAAGATATGTAACCACGAGTCATCGTGATAAAAAAATTTTTTTACTCGATTAGTTAATAAGATATCAAGCGGTTGCCAACTTCCTAATTATCAATATACTACATGTGGCAAATAACGAATTAGGGAATCTACTTAAGTCGATAAACCGGCGTTTACTCTCGATTTTTTTTATTTCAAATCTGTTGACGTTAAAACTATCCTGCGCGGCTTTTTCCTCGTTCATCTCTAAAGACTCGTTCATTTTTTTATAAAAAAGAAGACGCAATCAGTATGCCGATTGACACACGATTGGCATGGACGAACCTTAACAGGAAATGTAAGGAGTATATATTATGTAATGTTATTATATAATCTTATCTATCGAATTCCAAACATATAATTAGCCTGCGATTTGTGAATATATTTTCATGAAAAGAATGCTATTAGTATTGATTTCAAAAAGATACACGTTATATCAATGTGTTGACGAAATAAAAAATGTTGACGTCTTCTATAAAATCTTCTACAAAAACTTTACTATATCGAACAGTATAATTACTAAATTTTTTTAAAAATATGATACAAATGAAGTATATCTCTCTTAAAAGTGCCAAGACTTTTGCAATGATTCGATATTTCTCATAGTGATTTAATATATATTTTACATCAATTTCCGTGTCACGGTATTGTCATAAATTTGTTTTGCAAGAATTATGGATTCGCTGATGACAGCAAATAATACATATTCCAATTGTTCTTTGCGTGTGGTAGGCGCGCAAATTGTTAGTAAAAGTATCACCTACATTGAGTTCGTTTTTCTATACAAAGACAAAAGCTTAATAATAATTAAAACAAAGGCTTAATAATGAATTAATGTGTTGACGAAATAAATGTCAGACGCTCCAATCGGACTTCTCTTTTGCTCGCGTTGGCGTTTTGCGCGGAAGCTTCTCGTTCAACAGGAAGTCGTGAAGTTTGAACGGTTCATATGTTATGTGTGCTGACGCCGATCCCGATAAAGAAAATTCAAGAGATACCACTAAACAAAGTATTAACAATTGCGATACTTTCAATAATTTTAATAATCGCATTCATCAATTTGAAAAAAAAAATCATATGATAAACTATTTTTCCAGATTCCGCTCGTCGCATTAATTTTAGAAATATTTACAACATTTAACAAAAAAATAAAAAAGAAAAATGTTTGATACAGAAATTGATAGAGATTAAAATGTCGAATTATCCAAAGAATACGCAGATTCTTCGAACTTTTTATTTAAAAAATAATTATTGTCGCAATTCGATTACTTATCAGTAGATGAATGCATCAAAGATAAGATATCCGATGTTTGCTCTCAACACCAATTTAGAAATTTATGATATTTAATAAAGAGAAATCGATTATAGAGACTTAAAATGTCGAATTATCCGAAGAATACACAGATTCTTCATACTTTTTATTTGACAAAATTATTGTTATGAGTGTGCAACTTAACTATTAATAGTTGGATACATTAAAGACAGTAAAATAGCCGATATTTACACTCAATGTATGTAATTTTAAAAATTTAATATCGATATTTAACAGAGAGAAATTAACAGATATTTAAAATGTTGAATTATTTGAGAAATATATAGATTCTTCATACGTTTTACTTTACAATTAATTATTATTGCAATCAGATTATAATAGTAGGATCAGGGTTGGCATTATTTTACCCACCCCAATTATTTTTTATACAATATGGTCCCACTAATCATTCTGCATATAAAAGTATTAAGATAGTGATAATAAGGTAGTGATAATAAGATAATGAATAATGATAGATACAACGTAAATATTACGTGAAAAAAATATCAAATAATCAATTTTACCAAAAAAAACCCCAATAAAACCCCCATAAAACCCAGTAGGTTGAGTTTTTAAAAAAAACCCGGGTTTTTTCCAACCCTGAGTAGGATGCATTAAAGATAATAAGATACATACGCGGTGTTTGCTGATATGACGACAAGGTTCGAACATTTCACATTTAAATGCGTAATCATGGAACAAAGTGCGTCGAACACGATATTATAAACTTGTCGATCAACGAGCAACCATTATCGTGAACGATCTGCTGAAGGACTATAGGGGAAAGAATAAAATTCAATAACAATTGGATACTTCACGTATAAATAACGCGCGCGATAAGTAGTAACATTTTTAAAAAGACAATTATACTAAATAACTTAACGAGCAGAGAATCTGTTTCCTTTTCTGTTGTGAGCCCGGTAATAATTTCGCAATTCGAATATCCATAATTTCTTCGATATTACAAAATTATAAAAATCATATGCTTCTTATTTCAAAGAGATTAATTTATTGAAACGATCAATTTCGATGAAGATTTATATTATAATTTCAGTTTAAATCAAGGTTAACAATTTTATATTCGATGAATAATTGAACGTAATACGATTAATCGCCGTTGCGAAGAAAGACTCTATTGGGCGTCGATTGTAGATTGCATCATCGCAATAACGCATTGTATGACCGACATATAATTAGTCATTAAAAATTGTGATAACCACATGCCTTGTCTTTGAAACATTCTGGGATAGTATAATTTAGTGGATCATAATCTATTGAAATATCTGAGTCATCTTTGTAAGATGGCCGAGTTATATTGAACATAAGAAATTTACAAATTTCAATTTTAAAGTTTTAAATTTTGTTTTCAATCTTATCGTATTTATAGAATACAATATATGCAATGGAATTGACTTTTGACATCTCATCTATAATTGGCGGCAAACGCTAGCAGTATCGTTGTCTTTTCGCGAGCCATTCTTTTTTGTGGTTTGCCTTCCGATAAAAAAATTTATTGTTAATTAAAAACATTTAAACAGCATTCGACGTTAGAACTATCTTAATCCTTTGTCTACAATCATATTTTTATTCCCTCTGCAATCTACTTTTCTACTGTTCTTACTTTTCTACTTTTTACTAAACTTTCTAAAAATGTTGAAAAATTCAGAATTACTTTTCAACATCTCTATTATGTTATCAAATAGCTTTTTAACAAAATATTTATATAAGAAGGACACTCTGCTCTCATTTATTTCAGAGGAATTTGAAGGCGAAATATTGCTCTTATACCAAAAAAAGATCTAAATTACATCACTTAGATTTCTCTCCAAGTTTCGAAACTCTATACCGAAGAAAAATTTACTGAATTTTAAGACATACTTTTTTGAATAATACTAACAATAAGTAAACATTTATTTGCAGTATACATATTTACTAAAAGATGAGAAGTTAAATGAAATTAATAGCTCCTGTATCAAATAAATATATCACTTTGTAAATATTTTTACACTTGTAAATGTTTACACTTAGTAAATATTTACTTAAAAACCTATTCAAATAAATTTTATTAAAATTTGGAATATTTTTTAAAGTACAAGTTATCCCGTGTTTTGTAATGTCAAAAGCGAGGAAATTTTCTAAAGAAAAATTAATCACTTTCTTCTAGAAATATCTAACAGAAGAAATATTTTAAATAAACGATTACAAAATTTGGACCGATCAGAATCTAATTTAAAAAATAAGAGAAATTCTATATTCCGTCAAAGTAGATCTTAGTGCTTAAATATTTTAAATAAACTCAAAAAATATAAAGAATATCTTAGATTTGCAATGTTATAAGATTTTAAACGTTATGTTCACTTTCGCTGGATTATTTTTTGCTCTTTGACCAGCTTAATATTGCATAACAAATTTTACGATAATTTTTTATTATCATGATGTTTCTTGTGAGATGTTAAAATGTTACGTATATCTGATTTCCTGCGATAATTTAAAAAAGCATTAGAAATCTAATTAGACTTCCCCGTGTACTTTCTTGAAAATTTCTTAGAATTTCTCTGGATGACGCTTATCATTGTTGTTTCCGAGATAGATAGATTATGACTTTCTCGGGGGTTCACCGCTTTTGTACACTAATTGGTAATTATATTTCAAGCGATTTTCTTGTATTCATTTGTATTCACTAAACAGATCTCTGAATTGTTGTAAACCATCGACAAATATCTCATTCTAATTTTCGCTCCACGAACGTTCCAAACTTCAATCACATTAATTCAGTTTAATAATATCTCGTCAGATTTTCAGAGGAACCTGGAAAGAGAGGATTTTTATTTCACAGATTTTCCAAGATTACGTGAGAAATATCAAATGTTCCGTACTTTATCGGAGCGTATGTAGACACTAGTCTAAAAAAAGATAGATCAACAGCAACGAGACTCGGGGAAAAAAATCTTATCTATATCTAGATTCTAACTGTGAATAGGTTGTACACATCATTCGATTCGAGTGAGGAAACAAAGAACCTGAGAAATGAGAAAATTGACAATTAGCTCAAACGTACCGAGAAGTAGAGCTACGATGAACGCGATGTGCTTCATTTTGGCAACGAACGACAGTCTTCTGCGAAGAAAGATGAGGTACTTATAGATCACGAAGGTAGATATCTCTATCCACAGGTCCACAGGTTGAGTTCACTCACAGAGGAACGTTCACGCGCGCACGCACACGATTCACGCATTCGCTCGTGGACTCTTCTTACACAGCACAATGAACGGGACTGCACCTTGCCGCGGACGGCCAGCTCATTTATTGTCACCAATCCTTTATTACGAGCGGCCGCTATTATCTGGTAACAATAGAGAGAAGGGGTAAAAGGTAAAAGAGAAAGGGAGATAAGAGAAAGAGAGAGGGAGACAGATAAACAGAGAGGGAGAGAAGCAATGAGAGGCGGAAGGAGGAAGAAAAAGACGGGACAACGCGCAACCCTACCTTCACGACGATTATTCTGCTACTGATCGCGCTTGGCGCGTGCGCCGATTTTATGCACGCGCGCGCCACCTTGCGTTCGCACGACATACGAAATTTCGTTGCTCACACTGCTCAGTGCTCACCAGTGTTGCCAGTGGGGGCGTGTTTTCTCGCGCGCGCGACTTCACACGTATCAAGTTCACAAGAATAATTATGTATCCTAATAATTATGTAGCCTAATAATTATGTATCTCTCTATAAAATCTAGTAGTTTATCTGGAACAAGAATACGGGTTCTAAAGGTATCCGTATTCTTGTGAACTTGATAACTACTAGATTTTATAGAGAGATACATAATTTAATGTGAATTTGATACGTTGAAGTCGCGCGCGCGAGAAAACGCATCCCCGCTGGCAACACTGGTGCTCACCGCGACGCATAGAGTGCATTCAGTACCACGATCGCTCACTGAGCGCTCAGTAAGCTCTTGTATCTGTATGGTCTATATTTTTAGTTCTAACGGAATATGCCAATCAGATGCAAGAGCTCACTGAGCGCTCAATGAGCAGTCGTAGTACTGAATGCATCAATAGGATGCATTGGGTGCATTCAGTACCACGACCGCTCAGTGAGCTCTTGTATCTGTTTGGTCTATATTTTTAGTTCTAACGGAATACGCCAATAAGATTCAAGAGCTCACTGAGCGCTCAGTAAAGTGGTTTCACAGATTAATTTAGACTCTATGATAAATTCATGAAACATTTTTGTAAACATAAAAATAAATTTAAAGTAATAAAATTCTTGTAATGTTCTTAATATAATATGCTATTAATATTTAAACACATTAGATCAGATGTCATTTCTTTATCCTGTATCTCCATATTATACTACAATAAAGCTGTGGCTATCGCCAAATAAAAATTTTTTTCTGAAAGAGGGAAGGGTTCTAATATATTTTCTTACCAAGGGTGCAAGAAATTCTAGATACGTCTCTGCTCACTAATTTAATTACTGTAAGAATTTCTCGTAACGTGAATCAAAACTTTACGAACGAATATGTGTATATAAGAACAACAAAGTCCAGTTTATAAGTTAATATTCAGCGTGTTAGCATTTTTTGCGTATATGCGATAATTTAATGACGAATCAAGCAAATATGTATTATTACGAGGCATGGAAAGTTTCGATGTGCAATAGATTAATCTCGTCTTTAAAAATTAGTTAAATTAAAACTGATTTGTAAATTATTGTAATTAACCACTATGCATTTAAAAAGATTTACAGAAAAGAACTTTAATTTATAGCATAGCTTAGTTTTTAAATAATTTATATATATATATATACTAAATAATTTTTATATTAAATACATAATACAGGATATGTCTATTTCTTTTATGAGGACTCTCGTATTTTATTTATCCGTTTTTAACATGCATTAAATTTATCAGATGGTATCTACAGAAATTACGTAAATTAATGAGTTGGTCAGAAAGTTTGTGCCATTTTTTTTAGCTCAAAATTATATTTACAATATCTTCGTAAAAAATAAACAAAATTTAAATTTAGAAAACTGGTTTTGAAGCTTGAAATCTCTACTTTCGAGAGGTTTATTATGTTTTTTGAGTTTCTGTGAGTTTGGTAATTTTTACATACAGAAAACTACGAGCTGAAAAAGATTAAAAATTTTGTTCTCACTTCAGATCTATCATTTGTCCAAAAAAAATTTGCGAAAAATTTTCGGCTTTCCATCCAAGTGAAAGCTTAAAGTTTTCCCTATAAAATCGTTTTTTAAAAATGTTCCTAAGATTTTTTGTTACCGAGAGTTATCGCGAATTAAATAAAAGGAGGATTTTGACTTTGATTGCCCATAATTTCGTTAAAAATCATCGTACCGCAATTTAAAAAACAAAACTTTTTAAAACTAAAACTTTGCTCTATCGAATGGTATAATGACAACAAATATATTCTATGTATAATTTTGAGCTAAAAAGAAACGGCACTAACTTTCTAACCAACCTAATATTATTTAATAAAATCAAGAAAATTTTATTTATAAGGTAAACGCTATTTCAAATATATATACAACAAATTTTAAACTTATTTCTACCAAGTCCTCGGTAGTATAGTGGTCAGTATCCCCGCCTGTCACGCGGGAGACCGGGGTTCGATTCCCCGCCGGGGAGATTTTTTTTTAATCACAATTACATTCTTATACATCTCTGTATATATAACGAAAAAGATTGCCATAATTATATTATAAAAGTTTAATCCTAGAGTTAAAATATATACTTCTAGTCTTGATATTTTAATCTTTATGATTATAAACATATTAAAACGCAGTTTTTCAAATAAAAATTATTTCGAGTGACTTGTCGCTGATATAAATTCCAAAAGTTATAAAATTAGAGTGTAATATATTATAAAACTATGTTTTATGGATTTGGAAATCTAGTTTATGCTAGTAGTTCTTATACTCTGTAAGTAAAGTTCTTCACATCGCATCGGTGGTTCAGTGGTAGAATGCTCGCCTGCCACGCGGGCGGCCCGGGTTCGATTCCCGGCCGATGCATTTCTTTTTGTTTTATTTCTTTTTATATCGCATAATATTGTACGCTTAGTTATTATTTAATTTAGATATTATATTATATTTAATTATACACTTATTTAATTTAATAAATTTTACAATTTTTATATTCTCTTAAACATTCAATACTAATTTTTAAAGAATTCTTGAAACTGTAATTTCCAAATTTTTGCCATGTATAATTAATGTAAATGCATTTTTTCTACTTATTGTACAATATTTATCGTTGTAACTTCAAGTAATTGAAATTAAAATATTTCCAGTTTTAATATTCTATTTTGAAAAAATACATCGAATATGTAGGAATTTTTTGAATCGCAGTTTCTAAAGATGTATCTTATTATAGCAGCTAATTGTTGATCATAAACCAAGCCCCGATAATTTATCGTCATTGATACAATGGGCGTATAGCAGATCATCTTACAATTTCTCACATATTTGATCTTCGTATTCAGATAAAACTGTATTACATATAAAGTGATGGAAAAGTTTATTTTATTTAAAAAAAAATAAAAATTTTATTCGCAGGAACTTAGATAACATGTATGTTGCATAAGATACCTAAAATAAGTCTTTACATATTTTATATCGAAAAGATGTCTAAAAGACATTTTTTAGATACCTTATGTAACATGTATGTTATTTAGGAAAAAATAAATATATGTACTGCATATAATCACATTATGTGGGTTTTTTTTACATACGTTTCGTTTGGATATTAATTTCGAGAAATTAATTAGAACGAGTCACAGAAGTATCGCTCTCATTCTCAGAAAAACATTACAGCTTATCTGTATTATTAATTATAGCTCTGTTTATGTGTCACTGGAGATTCTGTTAATCCTTTTACTTTCTATAAACTAATTTAATTCCTGATTAGATCGCTAATGAAAATTTTCGCTAATGAGAAAAGTCGCTTATTTAATTATCATAATTAATCATAAAGGACTAATAAGTTTCTACTCATAGTTGTTGTTTATTATATTTTATTTGTATTGCACCTTATAAAAAGTTGATTACAACAAATCAAATAAATAGAGTACTTTAAATAGGTACGTGAATCAAATCGTAGGAAGTTAAATTTAGGCGCGGAGAAAGTCAATCCGTTTTACAATCGCATATATATATATATATATATATATTCGCAGAATAATAAACATAAGATTACAAACAGGAATTAAAAAAAAAAACGCAAACGCGCAGAGCGCGTTCACCATGATTCGCGCTGTAAAATTGGACCCTATAACCAACTTTCTTCACAAATAACTAATAAAACGTCGAGGAAGAAGAAAAAAAAGATTGTTGGATACGTATCTCTCGCTTCTGTTTCTGAAAATTTGTCGTACAATTTTTTATAGTTTAAAAGTGGAGGAATTATCGCGGCTGTTTGATAACCAAATAATTCGACAAGGGAAAAAAAAATTATGTAGGGGTGTAGATCAATTTTTAAGAAGCCACCTAAAATCGATTTCTATATACACTTTTTTTTCTTCTTCTCCATCGAAGATATTTTGGTGAATAAACAGTTAACGAAGTTATGTGTATGTATATGTTTGTATACCGGTTTTAATTTGTCACTCTGATGACTCATAATATTGGACGCGTAATATTGGATATTAGTATAATGATACCTTTTACTAGATTATTTTTGCTAGAATGTAATTAGCGGAATAAGTGCGGGCCTAACGAGACAAACATTCATAATGTGATAACGATATTGATTTATATATTGGGTTAGCAGGATAGTGACTTTTTACAGTTATCGATGCGATCGTAGTAGACAGATGTAGGACCGGCGTGTTGTCTCGCAAAATGCAAATAGAGAAATCGAGGTTCATAGCTTATAAGCGTTACGCATCATTAAGTCGAAATATGCGTCATTGTCTATACTCGCGCTAATTACGCTGTAATAATTCATAAATTCCTCTTGCGTTACCTGCAACAAAAGGAAAAATAATAATAATAGAAAGTGAATAGATAATAATGATATCGAATTAACAATAATAATGCGAATGATCATGATAATGATAAGCGAATTATTTGTAGATAAATAATAATACGTATATCATATTCACATAACAATATAATAAATCGAGAAATCTCTTATTATAATAACATATTATTAAAATAAAACTTTTATCAATTGATAAAAATATATCTATATATCTCTTTTCATTATATATAAATGATTTACATTATAACTTTGCCGTAACGGATTTTTAAATAATTTCTTGATATCTTTAAATATAAGTTATTAAATAAAAGTTTATTAAATAAAAGTTGTAGAGTTTGAAGAGGATCATCAATAAAATACTTAGATTTTGGATCCAAGGATTTATTGATTCACTCGGAGGATTTGAACATCAAAATATTTATTTCAAATGTGATCTCTCTCAGCTAGTAGCGTTATAGTTTCTTGATATCACTTTTCCAATGTAGCACGTTCCC